AAAAAAAAAAAAGATCATCTTAACCCATGGTTTATTGAGAACTGAGAGCGCTAATGGTGAATTTTGGAGAAACTAACCAGCAAATCACATGCATTTCAAATTTTTTTGCTAAGTGCTGTAGTAAGCTAACATCTGAGGACTAGGTTTGGGTTTGTCTTTTTTGGTGCGTTAGTTATCTTGACTAATTTTTTTCTGATTAGAAAGACTTGAGTTAAAAAAGAAAAACAATCCAGAAGTACAGAAATGAATGTCTCCCTCCCATGATACCACCATAGAAATAACTAACATTAACAACTCAGTATATATTTCTCTAGGACATTTCTTCTTACACATCTTTTAAAACAGTATATTGTACATACTGTTATATGTAATTTTTCCCCCATTTAGCAATCTATCTTAAGCATCTTTTCTTGTCAGTACATAAAGCTCCTGTTTGTTCTAAGTGCTGTATAATATCCTGCAGTATGGATGACATCCCTATTAATGGGAATTTCACTATTTTCAACTTTTCACTATCTCAGATCAGCTGCAATGAATAATTCTGTACATTATCTTGTGTTTCTGTAGAATGAATCTGAAAATGAAATACTGTGTCAAGGATACAGACATTTTCGATTTTAATGAACATTAACCTCCAAAAGGGTCATATCACACCTGCCTATCAAGAATGCACTACAGTGCATTTCTTTTTAAAATAGAGATGAGGTCTTGCTATGTTGCCCAGACTGTTCTCAAACTCCTGGCCTCAAGTGATCCTCCCACCTGGGCCTCCCAAAGTGCTGAGATTACAGGGGTGATCCACTGTGCCCGGCTAGAGTGCCTTTTTCCTTTATACCCACATAGACATTAGGTATCAGCAATCTTTTTGCTCTTATCAACAACTTGAAAGGTTAAAAAAAAAAAAAGATGGCCAGTTTCAATTTGCCTTTATTCACTTGTTAATAAAGTTGAATAACTTTTATATGCCTACTAGCCATTTGTGTTTCTTTTATAAATTGCCAAAGTTTTTTGA